AATCTAATGGATGTTATTCTTGTGACTAGTGAATATATATCAAAATAATCCAAGCCTTCTTCTTGCCTATATCTCTTAGCAACAAGCCTAACTTTATATTTATCTATTGAACCATCATGCTTCATCTTCCTCCTGAAAATCTATTTATAACCTAAAGGTTTAGTATTAGGAGGAAGATTCATCAACTCCTAAGTATGATTTTGCATGATGGATTCAATTTCACTATTTATGGCTTTTTTCCATAAAAGAGCTTCAGGAGAAGACATAGCTTCCTTATAGCTTTGTGGTTGATTCTCCAATATATATGTCAGAAAATCAAGACCAAATGACTTGACGTTCTAGCTCTTTTACTACATCTAGATTCTTCCTTATTTTCATTGTCTATAGACTCTTGGTCTATATTATCTTATATATTGCTATTAGCAATATCATGATTTCTTTTAAGAGGATTTTTACACGGAAATATATCCTCAAAGAAACAAGCATTCCTTGACTCAATAATTATATTGACATGGATGTCAGGAATGTCTGATTTATACACAAAGAAACGATATGCACTACTATTCTGTGCATTGCCTATGAAAATACCATCAAAGGTTTTTGGTCCTATCTTAACTTTCTTAGGAGTGGGAATCGCAACCCCAGCTAGACATCCCTACACTTTTACGAATTTATAGGAAGACTTTTGACCTTTCCATAATTCATAAGGTGTCACATTTGTTTTCTTTTGAGGTATTTTGTTGAGAACATAATTAGCAGAAAGCAAAACTTCCCCCCCACAAAATCTAGGTTAAACCAGAACTTATCAACATAGCATTCATCATTTCTTTTAAGGTACGGTTTTTGCGTTCAGTAACACCATTCTGTTGAGGTGAATAAGAAGCGGTAATTTGGTGAATAATACTATGTTCTGAGCGAATGTCAACGAATGGTATTTCGTATTCACCACCTCTATCATTTCTAAACACCTTTATCTTTTTGTCAAGTTGATTCTCAACCTCATTCTTGTAATGTTTAAACATTTCCAAGGCTTCATCTTTGCTTCTTAACAAGTATACTTAATAGTATCTTGTGTTATCATCAATAAAAGCAATGAAATAATTTTTCCCACATCTGGTTGGCACAGATTTAAAGTCACAAATATCACTGTGAATTAATGCTAGAGGTTCAGTACTTCATCTTCTTATTCTTCAATCCAGTTTCCACTACATTCGCCTTTGACACCATTAAAGAATTCCTGGCTTTCTTTTCAAATGTGCAGTTATCTTCTTCAATTCTTTGCCTGACAATCAGGTCTTTGAGCCCTATTTCCTTACGTTTATGCTTCAAGTAATTTTTGAAATCTTTCCAAGTAGGTGGTAGCTTTTCAATGATTGAAGCTACTTGAAAAGATTCACTTAAAGTCATTTTCTCAGCATGTATCTCATGTAAGATCAGCTGGAGCTCCTGCACTTGGCTCATGATTGTCTTGGAGTCTATCACTTTGAAGTCCAGAAATTGTCCAACCACGAACTTTTTCAAGCCAGCATCCTCAGTTTTATATTTCTTGTCTAATGACTCCCATAGCTCTTTAGCAGTGTTTATTAGACTGTACACATTATATATAGTGTTGTCCAATCCATTGAGGATGTAGTTCTTGCATAGGAAGTCTCCATGCTTCCATGCATCAACAACTCCTAGCTTTGTAATGTCAGTTTCTCCCTCTTCTAGCACTAGGGAAGTTTCAGCTAGGTACTTGCTCAGATTTAGAGTTGTAAGGTAGAACATCATTTTCTGTTGTCACCTTTCAAACTCCGCCCCGTTAAATTTTTCGGGCTTCTCCCCATGACTAACGGGAACATTAGGCATAATAGTACTTGTACTTACCATTCGTTTGTTATATATTAAATATACAGAATACAATCAAATTTACAAAAATAAAATAACAACAATATTTAAATAATTAAACTATAATATAAGCCGAATCTGTCTTAAGATTGTAGTCCAAAATATGGTCTAAGTATACCATACACTATAATATTACTATTTAAATATTATACATAAATATAATGTGTGTATATATATAATTATTATTATAAAATAATAATCTATATATATAATATCTTATAAAATAAAATAAAACAAAATAAAAGAATCTGAAAATAAGTCGAGGCTAGAATTTGATTCTATGTCCTTAAGACAGATTCGTTCCGCTATGGTGCTAACGGACTCAGTGGCGTCTATCTCCCAGGATACAACGACTTTTACTTCTTTCGGTAATAGCACTGCAAATCAAAGGAATAGGCGAACCAGCTTGGTGTAGTACTATCTGACTCAAACTTAGACTCGAAGTACTGACTAAGGCTCAAACCCAAAGACAAGGGTTCGAACCCACAGACACTTATAGAAGAAGAGAGAGGAAGGAGAGAATTCAGAATTTAGAAAAGAATTCTGAATTAGAGTGCTTTGGAATGAACCCAAGGGGGGGGGGGGGGTTTATATAGGGCTCATGGTGCCTTTTGGTTTTAATATTTTTCTGATGTGGGACAACCATTTTCTACATTTTGCAAACCCATTTAGGCTTATCAAACACCTTACTATGGAGCTAATTTCTCATTTACCTGGAAACGGATTTGAGAAAGTAAATATACCACATTCATCTCCTTGTGGAGAGGAACGTGCTCATCTATAGATCTGCAAAAAATTCTTAACGGAATCTATTCAAAATCTCATCTAAAGTTTATGTTTTTAATGCCCCCATTTCTAACATCAAAATCATTTTAAAACATTCATACGTATGCAAAAGAATAGGTTTACAAAATGATGAGGCCTACATGGCATAATTACAAGGGCTTCACTTGAGCTCACAAAAGAATATAGTTGGTTATATATGATTATTGTCTATGCTAGTCTAATACAAAAGATGTCAAAAGTCCATCACTTTACTTCTAAGCTTGCGGGGGTGCGTCATCTATAATTTCCTTGCCATGTCCTAAAAATGATAAGGGGTAAACACAACGGCTTAGTAGAAGATGCCTAAAGCATTGGCTTTGGGCTCCTTTTAGTCGACATACAAAGAATAGATAAAAGTTTTCGGGATCATACACGGGAATGTCAATAAGTCATAATCAACACAAGTACACCACCATGCAATGAAATGTCATGCTTCCCCGACCACAATCCCGGCCCAACTCAACACACATTGAAAACTGCTAACTAACTTTACCGAGGCGAGGTTGACTACTATCCCTGGCCTTAAATTTGACGACTATTTGGGGCCTAGTAATTAATTTTACGTGTTCTAAACCGGCATGTTCTCCCTCTAAGTCAAGATTAGTACCAGACTCGCGAAATTTGATTTCCTTGAGTCAACATACAAAGAATAGATAAAAGTGATCGGGATTATATACGGGAATGTCAATAAGTCATAATTAACACAAGTACACCACCATGCAATGAAATTTCTTGCTTCCCCGACCACAATCCCAACCCAACTCAACACACACCGAAAACCGCTAACCAACTTTACCGAGGCGAGGTTGACTACTATCCCTGGCCTCAAATCCGACGATCATTTGGGGCCTAGTAATTAACTTTACATGTCATAAATCGGCACACACTCCCTCTAGGTCAAGATTAGCACCAAACTCACAAAATTCGTTTTCTTTTACAAACCATTTTTCTCACTCTTCCCAAACATAACTTATATGACCATTTCAACTCTATTTCCCCAACCATGCCCATGCCATGAATTAATTATGCATTGTTTACTATTAACATCAACATGCTTTACAATATCAACAATACTAACAATTTAATTAACATGCTTATTTCCAAATAAAACATAACATCCAATTCAACCATGGATCTCAAGATAGCAATTTAACACATAACATGCTTTTATAACAAAATTAGTATTTAAAATTATGCACCCAACAACATCTATAACATGATTTCATCACGAAATACAAAGATATTATTCAACTTCTCAATCATTAATTTGCACATATTTAGCATGAAATCGCAACAAGAAATTCCAAATGAAGGTAAAGCAAGATGATTTAGACACCCCTACCTCAAAAGATGCAACCTAAGCCCTTAGTTCCCAAACTCGAAATCCACAAAATATGTGCAAGACCGGTATAGAAATAAAGCCCTTGAAGAGTAGAATCAACTTCTCTTCTTGCTCGTCTAAATCTTGCTCTAACTAGATCAAACCTCAAGATTTGTGTGTGAAAAGGTAGAAAATGAATAGAAGAAAGAATGAGGAAAGGGAGAGAGAGTGAGTGGCGAAGAGAGAGAGCGTGGGAGAAATGAGGTTGTGGTCATAAGTTGACCCTATCCTCTTTCAAAATAAGTGGCCTACAATGGGTCAAAGTCCACCACATCATCAAATGTCAAAAATGCCCTTCAAAGCTCACTTAACCACATGCTATGCCACAAAATATCATATCCCAGCAAAGTCACTTATACACATACATGTGTATACACATATATAACATATCATCACATAAAATAATAAATACATGCAATGGAAAATAATACCGGGGACCCACATGGCACCAAAATGATGCACAGAAAAATAAATACCAAAAATTCCAAAAAAATCCGGGACACTACAATATCTTAGCCCAGACTCGCAATGGCGAGAGTCTCGTTGTGAACTAGAGCTTTGAGTTAAAAAAGCAGGAGCATTATGTAATTAAAGAGAAACTAATACGATGATTTTCTTATAGTAGGTAATGCTTTAAATATCAATAGAGGGATCATCATACAAAGACAGGGCCCACCCTGGCCTAGACGACCTCAAATTTGGCTTTCCAGTACAGTTTCCTATGCATCTCTAGTCTACATTATGCATGTTAGAGAACCCCTCTGATCTGTTAGAATTCTACTCTAATGTGATACAATATGACAATGTGTTAGTGTAAGACACGCCCAAACAATGAGCATAGAACAATCAAATTTGAATTTGATTATAATCAGAGATGTCTCAAAGAATATTGATAATTATAGTCAAGTTTCAAATGCACACCATTAAATTTGAGGGGATTCTTCATATATGAAATCCATTTATGTTTGCTTCTACATTAGTACATCTGACAGCATTTACAATATAGAAGACATGCTATTTTTCCAGCTGAAGGACTTGAATTTGATGGGTCGAGGTGCAAAGCTCAGTCCAAACATTTCCTTTGGTGTATGACCTGACTCTACAAACCCAACCAGTTTTGCAACAAGAGCAGCACTCTCCTTAATATGGTCCATATCATTTGTATCTGTCCATAGTCGACGCGTCAATTGCAGTCTCCTCTGCTTTGTGTTCAACTCAATGCCCCATTTCTTATAAAGGGCCTCTCTCTCCTTTGATGAGAACTTCTTCAGAATTTTTTTGCCCAACATCTCTCTCTCTCTATTGAGAGCCCTCCTACTGTTGGTTCCAAAGCAAAGATGTTAGAATTACCTTGCTATCGCAGTTAAAATAAGCAAAAGCTTTACACTACACTGAAATGGATAAAGCCTACAATGTGCGTGTGTCAGTGTGTTTTCACACAAGCATAGTTAATGTCTTATTTGAAAAAACTGCCATTCAGTCCAATTCTTTCTTCTAAGAATAAGTTCTGAGGCCTTCTTTTGTGTGTGTTAAAAAAATTTGATTTCACAAGTAAATTATCAATTTTAAAAAGGAGATCAACATGCTGTGGCCAAACAACGTTAGAGACAAAAGTTACCGTCAAAGAACTTCACTATGCTTTTTTATTTTTAGTTTTTATTATTGTGCACGGCAAAAAAGAAAGAAAAACTGCATGAGAGATATTCATGGTCAATGTGTTTGTATATGAATAGGCGTGGATGTGTGCAAGTGTGCACATGAACCACGTCAAAACTCCCATATAGGAACAAAGAAAATGTACCTTGAGACTCGATTGGGAATTTTTCCATCATCCACAATTTTACTTCCATTAGATAATGTATACTTGAGAAAGGACAGGCGTCTAAGCTCCACCTCCATGTAAACAGAATCTGAAGGATCACCTTTAAAGAGCATGAAAAAATAGGTTCTGTGGACCAAAGGTACATAGCAGACATCCCATAATTCGATTATCTCTCTCCTCTGCTTCTCAAATTCTAAGGGCCAATTAGAAGGGGATTGCACAGAACCCTGCTCTATATCTGAACCACCATTCTTAACAATTTGACTTGACTCATTAGTCTTTGCCTCAGCATCCTGAATGAATATACAATGCATAACAACCATTCCATGATTAATAGAAGTAACTGATAAGCAAGATTCACACAATAAGCAGACAACCATCCAAAAACGAGGTCTAAGTATGCCGATCTACTAAGTCAAAATGAATGCATATGGTAAGTTAACATTTCTTCAAGATGCTATAATTCACATTGCTGTGATTGGAAAAAGAGGATTTGACAGCCAGTTTCTGAAATTTGGAGTTTCAGACAAAATAACTATTGCTCATGTATGACAGTATAAGTTCTGTGAAAAAATTCTTAATATAATGTGGATGCATAAAAATTATTGTGTTTAGAGTTTAAACTTGTTTTTGCATAAGAATAACGCAGCACTCAATCAAACTCTACTCCTCTCAAAAATTCCTTCATTACAACTATGTTTATATCAATCACTATTTATTTGAAGTGCAGCAGCTCTTATCATTTATTGTTGATTAAAATTTAAAATGGAAAGGCTCAAGTGATATATCAAAAAGGAGAAACATAAGTGATGGCAGACAAATGAAAACTAAACCCCTTAGTTCTTGGCCAAGTGAAAACTGTATGTTACTTAGATGCTAAATAACAAGCAATGACTTGGACAAGAACCAACATAAGTACATGAAGTAAGAACTTGAGAGAGAGAGAGAGACTAACCAAATCATCGCCAAATTTCTTCTCTGACTTAGAGTTGACCACTTCATCAAGCCCTGTGGCACCAAAGGGGATGCTAGCAATATCACTTTCGTCTGACATTTTAATATTCTGTTCCTTTTCATCCATGGAAAAACTTCCATCAGACATTCCGGAATCTTTTCTACGTAACTTTTCTAAGTTAGAACCGGACTCTGATTCAGAAAACTTTGGTTGATAACCTTCTGGTCTGCTAGGAAAATCTTTCTCAGAATAATGTGGTGTATTCTCCATTTGCTCAGCTTCTCGAAACCATGGAGATGATGAAACAGATGTAAGAACTGCTTTACAACTTTTGCTTCTAGATATATCCAAACTTCTAGAGCCAGATAAACCTGTTTCAGAGGAACAAGGAGATTGTTCTACATAATAAGGACTGGCAAGGTAGTCAATAGTTTTTTGCATATCCTGAATCTTTTGCTTTAGAGCTTCATAGGTTGGGCCCGAATGAGTGTGACTCGGGTCCCTAGCTCCCTCCTTCAGAGATGATATTGCATCAGGTTTTATCTTTTTGTTCTTGCTTGGCTCTTCCATTTCAATACATCGAACTTCCTTCCACTGATCATCGGAGTCCTCATCAGATTTTTGAACAATATTTTCCCAACCCTTACACGGATCAGGTCCGAAAAACTTATTCATAAACAGTTGTGGAGAAATGCTGTCAAGTAGAAAGCAGTCTTCTGAATTCTCAGGAAGCTGCAGTTCAAGCTTGTTGAACTTGAGGCTTTCCGATCTTTCATAAGTGTTAGACGCAACATCAAAGCGATGTGGATCAACCACCTCTGAAGATTCAGAAGCTGAATTTTCATGTACCCATGCATTTTGCTCACAGGGTTTCAAAAGCTGATCAGGTTTGGCCTAAAATAAAAGAAAGGAAAGAGAATCAGTTCATCAAAGTGTTTAGATTCATTATAAGATTTTTGGTTAATAAGACAACTCTATATACCAATGCTCTTGCAAATTGGTGTTCTCCAACTGATTGTAACAAATCTTCGACTCGAGATTGAGCAAGATCGCGTTGCCTAGTTAGCTCTTTTATCTCTTTATCCATCTGCACAATTTAAACAAAAGAAGAAAAATAAAAACAAAAAAGCCGGATAAGAATGATTTGAACAATTAAAATTTTTGATACTACATATTTGCTGTGTCCTAGCATGCAAGAAGTTATAATCTGAGTTGAAAAGTTTGAAACAAAAAAAAAATTGCAGCCTATAAATCCAACCAGTTCTTATTTGTCAGCCACATCATATGTCAGTCCATATCAACTAGGCTCAAAAATCAAAATACTTATGACATGCCACTTTTTACCAAAATAACCCACAAATACAATTCTTCCAGCCATGGTTACTTTAAGGGGGAAAAAAAATTAAAATAAAATACACCAAGAACATATTACAGAAGTCTTTCTTATCACCTTTTCAATGAGAAGTTCCTTCTCTTTTAGTAATGCCATGGTATTAGATGTGGCAGAAATCGATCCCAAACTCCTCAACTCGCTCTCCAATCTAGCCAATTCTCTTTGCAACTGCTTTACTAATGCCTTCTCCGACATCACCACATTAACCTGCGCACTAGTACTGACCTCCTTGGCACAACTAGCAAACAACAGAGTATTTCTTGATTGCTCGACGTGACTGCGTGCAGGGCTCATAGTGCAAATGATGGCAGTTCTTGCATTTCCTCCTAAAGAGTTTTGTAGTATGCGTGTCAGCTTGGAGTCTCGATAAGGAATGTGTGCATTTCTTCCTTTGCTGCATCCAGACATGGCATCAGATTGAAAGTAAAAATACAATATGACTCTGCTCAAAGTACACATATAAGGTACACAATGAAGAGATAAAAGGATAAAAAAATAAAATAAATATAAAAATAAACTAAAAGCTGTACCGATCACCGAAAGAGAAAGCAAGAAGGTTTCTTAGTTAGCAGCAGCCAGGTAAACAAAACTTCCATTGGATATGAAACTCCATCCAACTGGCCCCTCTTTGAAGAGAAGGCTGTTGTCAGTTCCATAAAAAAAAAAATAAGAACTCAATGTTCTGAGTATACTAGACTTGAAGATGCTAGTGCCTCTTATGCTAGGTTCAAATGGAAAATTCTTGAGGCATCCAACATTTCATAGTCCCCCAAAGTTGTGAGCAAAACTAAAGTTACGTATACACAATGTGACACAGACATAGTAGGTACCATTTAGGACAAAAATCATAAGGTTGATCGTAACAACATGATAAATGTGAATTCAAATATTGCTGCCTCTAATGATCTGTTGATGCAGAGTCCCCAATTTATACTTCTAACTATTACTATTTTTATCAATATTGTTATTATTATTTTGGGGTGGGGGTGGGATTACACTAACCTGTTACTAGCTTTGCCGTAAACTTATACATCAGGAGCAAAATTATAACAGTATCAGAATCAGCCTCCAAGGATGAAATTTTCACCAGATGGAGAGAAGTTCCAGCATATTTTTTAATAAAGTTCAAAGGAACTTCAGAAATGGAGTACTGATGTGAGTCCTTTACGCAGTTTAAGTGAAAACAGAATAGGAAGTGCTCACGATTATGCCAAATGAATGATGCTTTCACTTGTATGAGAACTACAATCCTTGTAAATTGCCATTCCCCCCTCTTTCAAACAACAACTAAAGAAAAAAAAAAAATCCCTAACCTACATGCTCTAAGTGTAATCACCATGCAGTTTTCAGAAGCATCATCAAAGATGCTGACAGTTATAAATTGAACATATCAAGTTTCAATATTCAACTAAGACACTGACATCAGCTTTTGCTCTACCTGACATGATAAGAAAATGATCAAACCAGAAGAAAACACTGAATCTTTTATATAAATAATGAAATGCAATCTGATGAATTAAGATCTAGTAAAAGTTTCTGCCAATCGAAAGTCAACCTGAAATGAGTTCCATGAAAAAAAAAAATTAAAAAAAAAAAGAAAAAAGAAAAAAAAGGAAAAGAATGGAAAAAGAAAAGAAGAAAATCAACCTTAATTTGCGAATAACAGTTCCCAGAGTTAGTAAACTGCGATTTATATGGCAACCCTCTTTCAATCTCATACCAGCTGACGATGCTTGTGAAGCACGTTCACTTCCCGCGAGATCAACAAAATTCTGTAGAAAGGAACCAACTTGTGTATTTTACTTTTCATTTCATATATTCTAAAACCAAAAGTAAGAAGATCCTTCAGAAGATAATTGTTCACTGCACACTAATTTGAAATATATTTCATACCACACTGGCTGTGAGAGTACTTGAATTTTCAGCACCTAAAAGTTCGTGAGCAGAACTGTCAACTGTCTGCAATAAATCCATTATTTTCTAAGTTAATAAAGAGATAAAACACAATTCTCAACTATGAATTAGACAAGAACTACTTTAGAAAGTGATAGGCGCACCAATCGCAGAATTTGATGAGATCTGGAGCTCATTTCATTCAGAGAGGTCTCCCCTATTTGCCTTTGAGCTGCAAAAATGAAAGTACCACTAACAGTCATATAATGTCATCTAGTGAAACATGACTAGTATTTGTATCCTTACCTTCACAGATAGAGAGCAGTTCCTTTAGATGGCTCCAATCTTCCAAAGTCTCCTCTGTAAGTTTTTCAACGACCGTCCCTCTCTACATAATAGAAAAGATACAAGGATTGAAGATGTTTTTGGTAATTCCCAATGAATATATCAACTATTATAAGTATAATATTAACCTCTGGATCATCAAGGAGTCTTAGTGGAGTACTATCTGTACTGAGGAGGTCTCTGACTGATTCATTGTAGATCTCCAACGCAGAGAATTTCAATACAAATTCTCTATCACTATGCTAAACAAATTCAAATAAAATAAAATAAAATAAAATTTATAATGCCACTGAGATATGAGTCCAAATAGAATAATGGATTTCAGAAATAAAAATTGGGGAAAATGATAGTTATTGTAGTACTTTTCTCATGTAGTCATATATATCTGCTACTGTATGTTCTGTAATCCCACTCATGGTGTATGTTTTTCCACTGCTTGTCTGGCCATACGCGAAAACAGTTGCTGCAGACACATTTTACCGGTAAAAAAATTGCACAAGGTGCGGTAATAGAATATCAGTAAACAGTAAAGCAAGGAGAGGAAGATAACTCACAATTGATACCACTGATAACTGAAAGAGCAACTCCTTTGGCTCCTTCTTCATATACTTGCCTTGTGGAGCTCTCACACCCAAATACTCTGTCTATCCCCAAAAAATTAACCAAAACAAGGGATAGGTATCAAGGAAAGGAAAAAGGATAACAAGAGGTTCAGTGTCTGACAAAGAAATTCAGAAAATTTTAAATAAAATCCAATGAATTAGGACAAACTACTTGAGAAAATGATGATGTGAGCCACAGCGAGTGAACGAGATTGTCTTGGCTTTTGGTAAGCACCATCGTACTCACCAAACTTAGCCGGGAAAAGAAAAAAAAGAGAGGAAAAATGAAGCTTGTGAAGGGATTGCGCAAATGAATTCTTTTTCTGAACTATTGAAAGCTGCATGTTTTTATGTTCAGCATATTTTTGATGCTTGACAGCAGAGGCTTATGTCCTCAGATTAGCATGGATTGACAGTCCAGAACTCTACGTGACAATGCAAAAACCTAAGAATAACAAGATTACACATAATGTACCAACTACTTAAAAAAAATGATGATGTGAGCCACAACGAATGAACTAGATTGTATTGGCTTTTAGTAAGCACAATCTTACTTGCTAAACTTAACTGAAAAAAAAAAAAAAAAAAAAGCTGCATGTTTTTATGTTCAACATATTTCTGATGCTACGACAGAGGCTTATGTCCTCAGATTAGCATGGATTGACAACGTGACAATGCAAGAACCTAAGAATAACAAGATTATACAAAATGTAGGGTAAACATTCTCTTACCAAATTTGTAAGCAATTGGAAACAGTGATCGTTCTGGTAAGCTATTCTTGAATATGATGGTGTCATCATTGATACATTCCCAATCTGACACATCATTTCTTCCAATTTCTTTCTCATTCAATGGCCTTAACCTGACTGAAACCAATATCTTCTCTTCGTGCCCACTTAACCCTTGTGCATCCCATTGTGTTATATCTTCCCCACCAATTGAGCTCATCTCTCACCCACTCCTCTTTTCTTCCTAGTTCTGGTACACTTGAAGACAAATGACAAGAATCAACAAGATGGTTAAATGGAAAATGAGATTAATAGAATGTTAAGACTTAGAAGCTCCCAATTGTCTCCACATGCCAACAGCAACAGAGCCAAAACCCTTTGCAATCAATGTACTTTGCAACAAAAAGTTAACCGTGGCAACATTTATTTATTTTGGTAATGAAGAATCAATCCACCCGCTGGCAAATTTGGACTCTTGGATGGTTTGCAAACTCCAGATGCACGCAATGACCAACAAACAACGTGCATCATTGACCTTTTATTCTTCATTTATTTTAAAGCCTAGACCATAAAGGAGATTTTACCTTGAAACTTGGTTGTTTTCAAAGAATGTTGGCAATATTTTCACAGCTCAATCTTCAAAAACGCAGTCGAGAAGAAGACACAAAAAATAATAAAAAATAAATAAATACAATCACAATGGGTCGGTGTTTTCAGCACCAAAATGTGCTTTCCATTCTGATCATTGCTGTTCTTCACATCTTCCTGGTAAAAAAAAAAAAAAAAACCAATAAAACTTAATTCTTGTACTATACAATGTGGTACAAAACAATATAGATGATGATTTAGATATATATCTATTTACTTGGTCATATATTCATATTATTCCTAACATAAAACTCACAAAGCATGCAGAAATTCTATTGTTCATCATTTAAAACTCCCATTATATTATGCAAGTAATCACTGATGTTATTCAAACCCCAATTCATAGTTACAATTAAACAGCAATTTCAAAAAAAAAATCAAAATTACCCGGAAACGAAAATAAAATCTCTCTCTCACCTTATGTAGATTTTATCTCCTTAGGAAAACCAGATATCCTGGAAAGGAAAAAATACATATGGAGGATATGAGAGCCCAATGTAGTTTTGCAATGAATAAAGCGAAAATGGATAAGCCAAAAGAGCAAACGAAAGAAGCGGGAAATTGAGAGACCACAGAGAAATTCGGCGACAACTATCACTTTCAATAAGAGAGAGAAAGAGACTAAAAGCTGCAACTTTCTCTCTCTTCTGAGTTGGGGCAGTGCAGACCTTTGAAATGTAACCATGAACTACCAACGACTAAACCTAACTGTAACACAGAGACCTTTCTATTACAGGGACTTAAATATTATATAGACAATTCTATTATATTGAAATTTTGTTATCGCATTGTCAACAATTATTTTTGAACTTAATATCAATTTCAACAATTATCAGCAATTAAGAATTTCAAAATATCAATTTTGAACTTAACGCAATACCAATTTTTATTTTATTTTTGGTTCAAAATACTAATCTTCATAGGGGCAAAGTAGCAAATTTAAAAAATTGTGTTAATAATGGTAGCTTTTCACATGGAAGTCGGTCAAATTTTAACGACAATGAAGGCAAAATCTTAAACAACTTATCTTGCGGAAGGTTGGAGTTATTTAAACATAAAAGGGTAAATTATATTAATCTCCCTAACGTATGTCATAATTATAAGGACTTTCGCTATAGTTTTTAAAATTATTTTAATCCTCTCTAAAAACCAAACCTTGTAACATGGACCACCCTTGCCACCGATAGACTATCACGCAGGCCAACAGTTAGTATAATATTACCAAAATACCCTTAAAATAATAAAGGTAAGAAAAATTATTAATAATTATAAGAGAATTGTTAGACCTACTATTTTTAATTAGTCATTTATGTAACAAATAAGGGAGTGGGGTCCTCCACTTATTTGCATTTAGCATTTAACCAATCAAAAATCATTCGGTTAGGTTATTCATTGCATAACTTCGGTATGAGTATCACTACCCTAAATCTAAACTTATAGATGCATTTTGTCCTCTTTCTCTCTCTAAAAATCATATCCTTCTTCTTTTTGAAACTACTAGTTTTTAATCAAAAAAGTTGACCAAGATCATGCATTACTATACAACAAATATCTCTCTTTCTTGTCTATAATCTAACTTCATTAACCATTGCCACCACACAAACAATATCCATTATATGTGGTTAATTATTAAATTAAGCTTCTCGGTTGCAATATTGTTGGAGTTGTGGCCCAAAATTTTAGTAAGAATTCTATTTTCGACAAGCGAAACCGGTTGCGTTTGGGCAGAATAGATGGAATGGTAAATTACTCAAAGATGCGGAACCAGTTCCACTACCGGTTATGCTTATGCATGAATTATTTTTTTTAATACCCCGATATTTTAAAGGATTTATTAATTGGGATTAATTACTTTTATTTAATTTTAAAATGATTTGTTTGATTTAATTGGGATTAATTGCTTTTATTTTATTTTAAATAATTTATTTTATTTAATTGAGTGCTTTATTTTAATTAAATTATATTTCGTAATTGATATGATGATTGTTGTGTGTGTGTTTGATTATTGATTGAATTATTGGTGGATTGATTTTATTAGTATGGTGTGACTTGGTTGAAATTTCTTGTTTGTTTATTTACTTCAAGTAATTAGTTATTTTAATTTAAGTATTTATTTAATTATTTGATTTATTTAAATTAATTGAATTTGGGCTTAAAGGAAGTTGGACCAAAGGATGTGGTCTTGAGCTTGGATGAAACCTTGTTGGGTTAATTATTAAAGGCCCATGGTTATGAAGATATTTAAATAATTATCTTTGCATGATTATATATATATTATATATGTAATTATATATATATATATATATCTAAATATAATTAATTAATAATCATTATGGAGGGGTATATATGTCAATATATATATTGATATATATAGGTATATATAATTTATTTAACTAATAATTATTTTTGGAAGGTATTTATATATATAATACAATATATGTGTATATAAATATATATATTATTTAAAGATTATTATTTTATTTGGTAGTTATAGTAGGAATAGGATTTGGATTTTAATGTGTATAAATATGCACATAAGACTTTAGGGTTAAAGGTTTACACGTTAGAAAAATAAGAGAGACAGAGAGAGAAGAAGAAGAAAAGGCTAACAAAGAGGAGGCCGGATCAGAGAAAGAGGATGTCAGAATTGGAAGAAACAATCAAAATTTGAAACGTTGGTTTCGTTTCGAAACCTTCGGGCGAATTTTCCCTATTTTTCCTCTTAGAACTCATAAGGATTTCACCTTGAGTATCAAGGTTTTAGATTTAATTTATTAGTTAAATCATGGTTAGAATTAATTTAATCAAAAGTATTAATTTTATTTTATTTGATTAAATTATGATTAAATCGGAGTATTAAAAGCATGATTTATTATTATTGAATGGTTGAATTTTAATTATATATATAGTGTTAGTCAATAATTGACTCTGGGGGGGGGGGGGGGTGAATAGAGTCAATGGCTAATGTTTGTAATTTTAAAAATTTGTTTCCAACTAAATAGAATGCAATACACAATAAAAATATTCAAGCAATATAAGCACAATTAAAGAGTATAGAGATAGAGAATTGCAAACAGTGACTCAGCAATTTAGCGAGGTTCGGAAGCTCCTACTCCTTGACTCAAGGTCCTCCCTTGAGACTTTCCAAATCACTAAAGCTCCTCCTTAATGGTGGAGAGCAAACCTTCAACTTGAAGCAAGACTTTACTTCTTTCCTTGCCAGGAGAACACCCTTCTCCTTAGCTTTGCTTTTGGGTCACACCAAACCTTACAAGAATGTAGAGATATATGAAGATTACAATATTGTTTCTTTCTCTCTCTCTCTCTCTCTAGAGGATATTACAAGAATTAGTCTCACACTAGAGTAGAAGAATGAAATAAATGAAGCTCTAGTCTCTTAAACTGATATGAGAGAAGGAATGAGAAGTAAAATGCTCAGATCAGAATTTCAGACTTCTTTTAATGCTCTTGAATGCACTTGGATGATATTCTTTAATGATCTCTGAAAGAAGTCCTTTGTTTGTAGACCATCTATCTGTATTTGAAGAGATTTCGAGTTCAATAGAGCTGTTGTAGGTAGTTGGAAGCATTAAATCAAATTCTAGCCGTTGGAATTTTGAATCTGCAGAGCTGCGACCAAACCGGTCGACGTATGGCATAAACCGGTTGACGTATCCTTTATCAAACCGGTCAACGTATGCTACTTACCGGTCGACGTATATGTTGAGTTCCTGAGATTTAAGTACTATATAGATACCGGTCGACGTATGTGCAAACCGGTCAACGCATATGAGTTGATCTTTGAATTTCACCTCTGAATACATACCGGTCGACGTATGGCATGAACCGGTCGACGTATATGAGTTTCTCCTCGAATTTGGCTACTGCATAGATACCGGTCGACGTATATGAGTTGATCTTTGAATTTTGTCTCTGCCTTGTAGAACATTTGCATTCTCTTGTTTTTACATCCTCTTGTGCGTTAGTTAACCATATTCTTTATAGAATGTTTGCAGCCTCTTTATGTTTCAGGAATGTGCATCTGAGTCCATATAATGGCATGAAGATCCTTTCATTTCTTCAATTAAGAAGCATTTATTTCCTTGCATTTAAACTCAGTTGAACTATTAGAATATAAAACTCCTTTAACTGATTTGTTATCATCAAAACAAATGGATTAGGACTTTGATCAATAATCTCCCCCTTTTTGATGATGACAAATCAAGCATGTGATTTAGAAATGATATTGGGTTGTATTTGTAAAATACTCCCCCTGTCAATTTGCACATAGTGAATATAATGATCATGCTTGTAGAAAAAGGAATTTAAGACAGGCATGACTGAAAATATTTGCAAGCAAATGTTTTAAATTTGGAAATGATGTCTCCCCTTTACTACATGCTATATAGAATATTTCACAATTTTCATGATGCATGGATCAATATAAAACCAAATAATAACAAGAGATAAATGTACTATCAAGATTGTCATAGCTAAAAATATCACAGCACATTATCCAAATACCAAAGTTTTATCAAAATATACCCATAGTTAAGATAACAAAAATGTCAAAGTCTAAGCTAGCTAGATCACATCATTCTTTCTCCCCTTTTGTCACATCAAAAAGAGGGGAAGAGCAAACAGCTAATGAGGTGGTAAACCGAAATTAGTGCGCAACTCCTGAAGATCAATATTCATGCTTCTCAGTTCTGCCCTTAGCATGACCATTTCCTCTTGAGTTTAACGAGATACAACTAGTTGGTGAAGGATGAGCTCTCGAATACATGGGTTTGTAGATGGATCAGCCTGCAAATTGTCAAGAGGAATCTCAACTTCCATACGAGTTGATTCCGTATTAGCTGGAGGGACTTCATCATCACTTTGGTTGCCCTCTGCTTCCTCTCCATCCGAATCTTCAGTTTTGCTTTCAGTTTGATCACCACCTACAATTTTGGGATCGTACCAATTTCCATCATCATCCCTTTTTAATCTCATACGTAGAAGAGTCGACTTGTCAAAGCGATGTTGAGATAACAGGTTCATTTTGGGCTGACCAGCGAACATAACCCCTTTTGTTCGGAAGATCTTGGTGAGAGGCATTGCGTAGTATAGATGACATTTCTCACGGTTGACATAATCCATCATGTGATGGTATATTAAGTAAGGCACATCAATTTTGCGTCCCTTAAGCACACATTAGGTCAGAAGAGCTTCCATGTAGGAAACGTCAGAATAGCCACCGGTCTTGGGAATGATGGAATGGACGATGACTCGATAGATTATTCGGGCTTCAATGGTGAGGTCACTGGATTTTATAATGTCTATGTCCTCAGTAGTTTTGTCGTGACAAATGTCACGAACTGATGTGAGAGGATCAAAGTCAGCATTTTGATACCAAGCATGGGTTTTGTAATGCCGGAGACCACCCTCGGGAAGATTTAGTAAAATCCTTAGATCACTTTTGCGAAGTGAGAGATCAACACCTTGGACAAATGAGTTAAGGCTATTTGTTTCAGAATCTCTCTTAAGATGGGTGTAGAATAGGCGGACTAATTTTGGATAGAATGGAATTTCCATTGAGACGAAATCAGCCAAGCCTACAGCTTCAAACAGCTCATAAGTGTTGAGATTGTTAGCAAGGCAGTTGGCCCTTTTAAGGGTTTTCCCATAAGCTACTTTCTTTTGAAGAAAAATGGT